GCTACGTTTGTGCTGGTTTGTGCTGCTAAAATTTTCGTTTGTGCTGCTTCTGTTTTAAAGATATTAATGAAAATGTAAAGGTCAAAAGGTCAACCAGCCCCCCCACATTACCCAAATCAAACAAAATTGATGTCAAAAGTTTGTGCTACGTTTGTGCTACGTTTGTGCTGCAAAAATTTTAGTTTGTGCTGCTATCATTTTAAAGATATTAATAAAAGTTTCTAGAGGTCATCAGAGGTCAACCAGCCCCCCCACATTAATTAAATCAAACAAAATGGGTGTCAATCAACTGTGCTACGTTTGTGTTGGTTTGTGCTGCTAAAATTTTTGTTTGTGCTGCTTCTGTTTTAAAGATATTAATGAAAATGTAAAGGTCAAAAGGTCAACCAGCCCCCCCACATTACCCAGATCAAACAAAATTGATGTCAAAAGTTTGTGCTACGTTTGTGCTGCAAAAATTTTAGTTTGTGCTGCTATCATTTTAAAGATATTAATAAAAATTTCTAGAGGTCATCAGAGGTCAACCAGCCCCCCCACATTACCCAAATCCAACAAAAGTGGTATCAAACATTTGTGCTACTATCATTTTAAAGATATTAATGAAAATGTAAAGGTCAAAAGGTCAACCAGCCCCCCCACATTACCCAAATCCAACAAAAGTGGTATCAAACGTTTGTGCTACGTTTGTGCTGGTTTGTGCTGCAAAAATTTTCGTTTGTGCTGCTATCATTTTAAAGATATTAATAGAAATTTCTATAGGTCATCAAAGGTCAACCAGCCCCCCCATATTAATGGAATCAAACAAAATTGGTATCAAACGTTTGTGCTACGTTTGTGCTGGTTTGTGCTGATAAAATTTTCGTTTGTGCTGCCTGTTTTAAAGATATTAATGAAAAGGTAAAGGTCAAAAGGTCAGCCAGCCCCCCCACATTACCCAAATCAAACAAAATTGATGTCAAACGTTTGTGCTACGTTTGTGCTACAGGCAGAAATCTAGGTGTGCCATGGGTTCCCACAGGCCCCTGGTCAAAGTCACCAAACCAGTTCGTAAGCCGGTACAGGTGTGGCCAGAAGGGTCCTCAGAGGCATTGCTTTTCCACCACAGGCTGCCACACACGACACCACAGACTTTCAGGAATATACAGAAACGGTCACTGCCTACATCCCAAAATGCATCGATGATGTCACAGAGACCAGGACTATCACTGTCCGGGCCAATCAGAAACCATGGCTCACAGGTCAGGTTTAAATGCTCCTAAGGTTGAAAAATGCAAGCCTTCAGAGCCGGGAATTAGGTGAGTCTAAGAACAGCAAGGGCAAACCTGTCACGTGGCATCAGCTACAGCAAAGCTTCAGCGACAGCAGAAATACTTGAGGCAGTGGCAAGGAATACAAACCATCACAGACTACAAGCCCACTCTACAGACAGTGGTGACACAATCCCCAGACAGTGTGTGGAGATCCCTTGCCAAAATCAGTACACGCAAAGCTCCAGGTCCTGATAACATCCTTGGACAAGCACTGACGGACTATGCTGTGGAACTCACAAATGTCTTCACAGACATCTTTAACACATGACTAGGGTCAGGCGATCGTTCCCACATGCCTCAAAGCCTCCACCATCATTACTGTACCCAAGAAGTTATCTATCTCCTGCTTTAAGGACTACCGTCCTGTCAAACTCACCTCCATCATTATTAAGTTAAGTGCTTTGAACGGTTATAATAATAATAATGGATTGGATTTATAAAGCGCTTTTCTAGGCACCCAAAGCGCTTTACAATACCACTATTCATTCACTCTCACATTCATGCATCAAATCAAATTATCGCTTTCCCCCAACCTGGATCCATTTCAGTTCGCATACCGGTCAAAACGCTCAACCGATGATGGAATTTCAACTGCCCCTCACTCAGCCCTCACACATCTGAACACTAGAGACTCATATGTCAGAGTGCTGTTCATAGACTTCAGTTCAGCATTCAACACCATCATTCCCCAGCAACTCATTCACAAACTGGATCTGCTGGGGATCAGCACCTTGCTGTATAACGGGCTGCTAGATTTCTTGACAGGAAGACAGCAGACAGTACGGGTCGACAGCAACACCTCCAGCCCAAGAACACTGAATATGGGGGCTCCCCAAGGATGTGTGTTGAGCCCCCTTCTCTTCACTCTGCTGACCCACGACGAGATCTACTACAGGGGTGAAGTTAACCATCTGGCAGAGTGGTGCAGCAACAACAACCTGTCCCTGAATGTGGAGAAGACCAACAGTGACTCTACTTCCTCTGCAAACTGAGAAGCACAAGAGATTAAACCCCCATTATGAGCACCTTCTACAGAGGCACAGTTGAGAGTATCCTCACCAGCTGCATCACTGTGTGGTATGACTCCTGCACTGGGTTCTGCAGGAAAAAATGACAACGGGTAGTGAGAGCAGCCGAGAGCATTGTGGGGACCTCTCTTGCCTCCCTCCCCAGGAGATCTACTGCACCTGCCTCATCTAGAAGGTCGTCTCCATTACAGGTGACTCCACTCATCCCTTCAACAGCGTCTTCAATTTGCTGCCATCAGGAAGGATACTGAAGAGCCTCCGGGCCAGAACCAGCAGACTGAGAGACAGCTTCGTCCATTGGGCTGTCAGGATGCTGACCATCTCTGAATCGAGAAGGGGGGCCCAAGGGTACATCTTTTGCCATCTTACAATGCTGTGATTGTAGCCATTCCCCACTTTCTGTGAATGGTACTCATGGCCATTGATCAGTAGGCTTTGATTAGTTGTCATTGATCAATGGTCATAAGAATTTGCATACTAACAATCATGGAACTAACCCCCCAGCACATTGTTCATTCAGTGGTGCTAGTTTCCTTCACTATGCAAATGTACTGTTTATAAGGTTGGGGAAACCTGCAGTCAGCTGAGACTGAAGAAGTCACCTGGATGAGTGACGAAACGTTTCTCCAACTGAAAATGTCCAGATGAACAGAATCAACCTTTGGGATTTACTTACCTGGATGATTAAGCACACATCAAGACGTTATTTTATTAAAAATTTTAAAATGTTAGCAGCACAAACAAAAATGTTTGCAGCACAAACCAGCACAAACGTTTGACATCAATTTTGTTTGATTCCATTAATATGGGGGGGGCTGGTTGACCTCTGTTGACCTCTAGAAATCTTTGTTAATATCTTTAAAATGATAGCGGCACGAATAAAAATTTTTGCAGCACAAACGTAGCACAAACGTTTGACACCACTTTTGTTGGATTTGGGTAATGTGGGGGGGCTGGTTGACCTTTTGACCTTTACATTTTCATTAATATCTTTAAAACAGAGGCAGCATAAACAAACATTTTTGCAGCACAAACCAGCACAAACGTAGCACAGTTGATTGACACCCATTTTGTTTGATTTAATTAATGTGGGGGGGCTGGTTGACCTCTGATGACCTCTAGAAACTTTTATTAATATCTTTAAAATGATAGCAGCACAAACTAAAATTTTTGCAGCACAAACCAGCACAAACGTAGCACAAACTTTTGACATCAATTTTGTTTGATTTGGGTAATGTGGGGGGGCTGGTTGACCTTTTGACCTTTACATTTTCATTAATATCTTTAAAACAGAGGCAGCATAAACAAAAATTTTTGCAGCACAAACCAGCACAAACGTAGCACAAACGTTTGATACCACTTTTGTTGGATTTGAAGAAGGTGGGGGGGGCCAACTTCACTCACATGTAAAACATTTATACAACAGCAGCATTTCAGAATAGTTTTTTGTTTGCTTGTTTGTTTGTTTGTTTTATAGATTTTTGATTTTTGTAATAAAAATGCTTTGATAATAAAGCTTACATGGATGATACCGATTTCTTTTAGTTCAAAAAAGGTTATAATTTAAATTATTTTGGAAAGCACCCTTGAAAACCAGTTTCTGTTTCTTATCTGGACTTGTTGTTGATATGTTATTGTGATGTTTTTCAACAGTGATTTGATTATACCTTCTAGAAAATGTCCACTCTTTCTTTTTTTTTGACAGACTTTCAGGAAAAACAGAAGCTGTGGATTGAAATGTTGCCTTTGTATAAATGTTTAAATAGTTTTTTTTTTGTGTGTTTTTTGTTTTTGTTTTGTTTTTACTAGAGAGCCAAATGTGCTCAGACCTTTTTCCCCATTTTTTTTTATTTTTCTAGTATCTGTCACTACTATGAACTTAGGGCCCAACAACATTTAAAGCACCAAAATGGTGTAGGTACCATCTGTAACCAGAGAAGCTGCTCCAGCTTTTTAAAAATTTTTTTAAAAGTCCTCCTTTAAGTGACAGAAACGTCAAATTATAGACTTCCCAACTGAAACTTCTGGGAATATTGTTGGAAATGGAGAAAATAACTTACCATTTCACTTTAAATTTTTTTTTACTTATTTCATAATTTTAACAAATCATTTTTTTTGCAGTGGCAGAAAAATCAATAGAACTTTTTGAAAACAGTTGACTCACAGTCTTGTGGACATCCAAAGCCTCAACAATCACCTGCATTAAAGCCTCATCAGTGAGTTTCCCAAATTAACAAATAGTTAGTTTTATATTCTCCTTAGTTTTAATTTATTTGTTTTAATTTCTTTCAAAGTCTAGTTTTTAATTTTTATTTTATAAAAAAAAAAAATCACATAACTTTAGATTTTAATTTAATTTTAGTTAACTATCTTCAAACATACCTGTTCACGTCATGTTAATTATTCATGTGGTCTCTTAATGAAATTGCACATTTTTCCTTAAAATAATTCTATAGAATTATTTTAAGGAAAAATGTGCAGATTTCTCTTTATAAAGAGAAATCTGCACATTTTAAAGTAATGAGAGTGAAACGCTGCATGAATGAGTTTAAGGACAGACTGTTCAGTCATGTATAGAAACCTGAACAGGCCTGCAGCCCCACCAGCACTTGCTGGTCTATTTTAAACTCGTTTTTGACAGTGAACATGCTGTTGACCCCCACTCACCAAAACAAAATGGCACAGAACACGAGAGAACTGGCAGCAAACAAAAACTTGACACAAACAGCCCAGCCTGTGTTGTAGTTTTGGCAAGGAAAACTGACGTAATCTCATTTTAATACTTCTAATCTTGGTTCTTTGGACAACACTGGTATGGTAACTGTTTTTCTGCATGTGCTTAGCAAATATAATGCATGCTATTTCTGCTTCTCTGAACCGTGTGTGCGTGTCTGTGGGCTGTTTATGTGTAGCTCACGCACACAGAGTGTGGTTATCAGCTGCAGGGGTGGAACCACAGGTCAACATGTAGTAGAACGTAATCTACAAACAGGTCAATGCTATTTAGCTTTATGAAGTATATTAAATGTTGCATTAGTTAAGGCAGACTCTTTAACATGATTGGTGTACATGTCAACGTAATTTATAAAAACAAAAGAAAGATGTGCTCATTTGAACCGCTGTTCACACTTAAAAGCATGATCAGAGTTCACACTGCTCATGTGTTCATAATATAATGGCCATTGTGACTGGCATGAGTTAGCTCACTCATGCGAAGCACTCCCGGCTGAGCTAATGAATACACTTGGTACTCATTAGCTCAACGCGAATAAACAAAAAGTGGAACTAAATATGCTCCGTGCATGGATCAGACCCACGGAGGAAAAGTGCATAGTCATTCAGTCTCACGTGGGAGAAAACTTTCCATGCAGTACCTACTGACAACAGCGAAGCTGCGATAGTGAAGAGCAGGTAGATGCAGTTGAAACTGCATACAAGTGTGCATAGACCAAACTTTCACAGATGTTCACTCATTTTGTTTATTGATTTATTTAATTGTAATTACTGATGCATTTTCCACAACTCCCCTCTCTTCAAAACAAGAGTCCATGGATGCTGAGGTGCTGCACTCTGCTCAAGCAGAGCATGGCTCACTTTTGCTAAGGCAGCTAGAGAGGATGAGAACAACTAAGGAGCTCACTGACGTGGTGCTGCTAGCTGAAGGGATCCCCTTCCATTGCCACAAGGTGGTGCTGTCTGCATTCAGTCCTTACTTCCAGGTAAAATAGTCAGGAACAATAAACCGTATGCTTGAAGGAAAATGAAGAACACTATTTAAATTATTTGCAATGCAATTATTTTTATTTTCCTGTAAAATACCTGAAGATATGCAATACTCAAAAGCACTTATGCACTACATAAAATTACTTCCATATTACTTATTATTCTAAACATAATACTAAAATCTACTTACAGTATAATTATTTCTTTGTTTCCGGTAATTTCAAATAAAATACATTGGAAATCATGTTGTATTGCAGGGGAATTAAGCCGTTCGTTGCAGGCCATATTATAAAGTGTTACCATATTTTTTATTATTTTTTTCTGAACTACTCCAAGCAAATGCATTAATGAGACGCAAGGCTGTAGTTGTATCATTTCTTACTGTTCTGGTGAATCATTGTGTCCAGGCCATGTTTACATGTGGTCTGAAGGAGACGCACGGAGGAGAAATACCGCTCAGAGACACTTCTGCACAAAGCTTAAGGCTGCTGCTGGACTACATGTACTGTGGCGAGCTCCCACTAACAAACAACAACATCCAGGGAGTGGCCGTTGCTGCCTTTCTGCTACATGTAGACGGAGGCTTCAGGTGCGGTGAAACTGACAGAGGGGTAATTGGTAAAGGTGTCACCTGCTAAAGTGCAAGTTTTATGCTTAAGAAGTACTCTCCTTGTTTTTACTGAGGTAAGGTTGTGCCAGAGTCACATGGAGGCCTGTATGGACCCGTCAAACTGTGTTGGTCTGTACCACTGGGCCAGGAACTTGGGAGCAACTAGCCTCGCTGACTGTGCCTTGCGATATCTTTGTCAACACTTTTCACAGGTAGGGTTTAAGTATTACCAATGTGAAAGAATCCCTCAGTCATAGTCTTTAAAAATGTTCATGAACCTACGATTAATGAAGTTAGGCCTGCCCTAAATTATCAGAAGAATCAAAGTTCAGTGAAGCTTTTGAACACTGAGGAAATCTCTGAATATCTTTTGTTCATTTTGCAATGTTATTCTTATTTTATATTCATTACTTACAGTATACTGTCTTTCTTTATCTTTGTTTAACTAGGTTTGTGAAGAAGAAGAAGTGCTAGAGCTGAATGCTCAAAGTCTTGGGGAACTGCTTGGCTTAGATGACCTTAACGTATCACAGGAGGAGGTTGTTTTGGAGCTGGTGCTGCGCTGGGTGGAAAAGTACAGGGGTGACTCAGAAAGGGAAGCCCAGGCTGTGGAGTTGCTCAGGCATGTCCGACTGGAGCTTGTGGATCCTGGATTTCTTTGTAAAGCAAGGAGGAGAAACCCGGTATGAAGAGATTGGAATGAGGTCCAAATATAATAAGGAGCAAGACTCCCTATTTATATTTGTCCTGAGATAAGTATATAGATATATCATTCTTATACTTATGATTCTCTCAGGTGCTTCTGCGGGATACTGAGTGCTTTGGGATGATTGATGCTGTTCTCCAGACGTCAGGTCTCTGCGAGGCCGCAGCTCCCCCTCGCCGAGCTCTTCGCTATAGCATGGAGACAACAGATTTGCTCCTTTGTTTGGGTGGTGTGAATAAGGAGGGCGTCCCTGCGCGGCGTGGAGGACTTGCTGACCTCAGTTTTTGCTTTGACCCCCATGCTAGGAAGACTTACTACATCCCCTCTCCCCTGAGGGGCTGCAGCATAGTGGGACAGATCACAGCAGGCGCAGTGAGCCGAGAAAACATCATAGTGGTGGCCGTAGAAGCAGAAGACCAACATCGAACGAAGGGGGTTGATATCTACAGGTTTTAATCCCTTTGCATATCAGAAATCTTTTTATCAATAGGCACCACACTGAATTAACAAATGAACTACTTGTTTATCTTCCAGGTATGACAGTTCAGAGGAGAACAGCTGGGGGAAGTTGTGCTCAGCAGCTTACAGGGACATGTATGCTTTAGGGCTCATAGGAGATGCTCTCTATTTAATCGGTGGTCAGATGAAAGTGCGTAATCACTACGTCATCACAGACAGCATGGAGCGATGGTCGCTGAAGAGAGGAGGCAGCTGGCTCAGCTTTGCTCCTCTGCCTCTTCCATTAGCCAGTCACTTTGTTGTGACACTGAAGGAGCATCTTTATGTGCTGGGGGGGTGGACACCACAGGTACCCAGACTCACCATCTTAACCGTTTAAAGCCTGAGCCATGAAATAATTGCCCCAAAAATTCATCTTTTTAAACTGAGTATTTATGGAACCTTCTTACAAAATAAAAGAAAAAATGTATTTGTATATGTGAGTTTGAATTTTTATCATACTTGTTGTGTCTGGCCTTTTTTTTTTTTACATGGTATTAGTTTAAAATGTAATGTAAAATTTATTTAGGTTTTTCACGGGGAAAAAAATCATACTGAAGTTGTGGAAGTCTCAAAAATTTACAAAAACTTGCCATATAAAATCCACAAACTGGTTGTTTTTCCCCTGAACATTAACATCAGTATTGTACTTTTATTTAAAATCATTTTCGTTTTTTAAAAACAATTCCACACGATAGAGATGGTGAAATAGTTACTGAAATATTTCTGCTTCTCATTTGTCCAATATGTCCCCATGTCCTCATCTTTTTCTTCATCTCTCTGCCTAAATCTCTCATCCTGCCATTCAGGATCACCCTGACGACGAGCCTGACAAGCTCAGCAATCGTGTGTTTCAGTTTGACCCCGGCAAAGACAGATGGACAGAGTGTGCCAGCATGAAGTACTCCAGGTACCGCTGTGGGTCAGCTGTACTCAATGGAGAGATCTATGTATTAGGTCAGTCTACCAAAACACATAACTGTATCTATGTTAGTATTGTGAAATTTCTGCACTGGAGCAAGAGTAGATGCGTTTGTTTCCAGGTGGTATAGGATGCGATGGAGAGGACCGTGGGCAATCGCGTCGTTGCCTGAGCTCCGTGGAGATCTACAACCCAGATACAGACACCTGGAGACCAGGACCAACCGTCCCCACATCCCTACTTTCCCTTCGAACGAACGCCTCCAACGTAGGAGTAGTGGATGGAAAGCTCTATCTCTGTGGATACTACAAGGGGGCTGGTCAGTTACTGAATGCCTGTCAAATAATTTTTAAAAGCACTTTTGCATGCGCTCAAATAATTTTTCTCTAATGGCTGCAGGCCGTCATGAGATCATCACCAAGGAACTTTTGGAATTGGACCCTGCAGACAATGTGTGGACAGTTGTGGAAAGACGAGCAGCCATGCACGACAGCTACGACGTCTGTCTGGTGGCTAATCTTAATCCTCGAGATCTCTTCACACCCTAATCCAGCTCCTGCTGGGCCAGTGTGTGTGGAAAGTAAGCGTCTATACGCTAAACCCGGAAAGTCTCATTCAAAAAAGCTTTATTCACTCTTGGTATTTGGAAAAAAGAATAACCAGATTAATTTTCACTATAATTAACTAACAACTTATTTTTTTGCTATATGAGTATCCAAAGTCAAACTTTAGATAATGCAGTTTTATGTTATATATCAATGGGACATTAGCTGTAATTAAATATATATTGTGTTGTATGATATGTTCAGTCAAAAGTCTGTTTGTTACATGTCTTGTCCAAGCAATAAATTTTACCTGTAAATGTAAGAATAAAAGAAAAATCAACATTCTGTTCTGTGTAATTTCTATATGTGGTATAAACTGTTAAACTGCACGTGTTAGTTTAAGGTCACAAAATCTTGCCTATACAAAAGTCCCTTCCACCACTTTAACTCTTCTTTCAGTAAAAAGAAGGATGGCAAGAAAAAAAAGCTAATTTTATATTTAACAAGCTATTTATTTTGCTCTTCCATCAAACTACAGAAACCACAGAAGCCTCACACTGACTGCTACTTGTTTTTTGTTGTTGTTTTTTTCTGTGTGTTGTCAAACATTACTTGGACTGAAAGGATGTCAGCAGAAGAACTTGGTGACCTCTTAGTGAGAAAACATTTTAAATATATTTTCCTCTCCTTTTTTTTGGATAACTGCATGTTGAAATGATATAATAATAAAATGAAATAATAAAGTGACGTGAAAAAGATGGAGGATTCAGGTGTGTGTTAACGCAATGCCACAATCTTACCAGGAATGGACGTCCAAGTAGATTTGACCCAAGGTCAGACTGTGCAATGCTCATTAACTACAAAAATCCCAAAAGACTCTCCATGCTTCAATCAACATGGTAGAACAATGAACACCAATGAACACATCTGTATACCAAAGTATTCTTGGGTCAGATCTGAAGACAGTGGGTCATAAAATCGGAAATTCCCAAGCATTCACACAATACCTGGTCTTTCATGCACTTTTTTAAACGAATAATAGTGATATAGTCAGTCTAAAAAAAACTCTACATTGCCCTTAAAAAAACATTTCAATTCATTAAGATGAATGCAGATTTCACTGTAGTATTTGATACAGCAATCGTGACTTGAGATAACCTAGCGCATACTTCCAGAGTTCTTTGAAATTGCCATTTTGTGAGACCTTGATGATGATAGATGATGCCGATAGTCTGGGAGGCTAAATTTAATGTTTTAGACAACAAGTGTCCTCGCGCAAGGATACAAGAGCAGGTGTGGGCTGGTGGGAGGTGCGCTTGCAAGCATGAGAAACGAATCTCACATTCTCAGGACAGTCATTCAACTTCGCCGCTCAGGGTGAATAAACATGCTAGTAGAAAGGTGGTGGCTGATTTTGGCCTTGGGTGAGTATTTTTAAAATCATCTGCCAATCTGCTGTGTTGTTTGTTCCTTTTTCTGTGTCTGATTTTGATTAATGATGGCTGCTAATAGTTACAGGTTGTGTTGCTTGTGTTGTAAAAGGACTGTTGACTAGGCTAATTTAGACTCCTATGTTATTAATCACCGTTGTCATCTTACATTATACGTCCGACTTTCTTTTTATTCTTTTTTTTTATTCCCAGAATGTATTATGTGCATCTACAGCAAGCCCTTACAGCAGAAGAGAAGGTGTTTTTTTCAAATAACAGAAAGTACAAAGCATAACTACAGGCAGAATAAGAAATACACTGCTGCGGGCAGTGTGAGCGGGTCAGTGCAAGTTTGTGAGACCACGGACTGTTGCGTGGGCTACTACCGGATCATTAACGGCACACCAAAAGCTGACATTCTTGGTAAGAAGCCCGTATGTCTGGGCAAGTACGTGGAGTGTATAGTGGGTGATTGAAAACAACAACAACAACAACAACAACAACAACACATTTTTAGCACATTAGCAAAAAAAAATCTAATGATTGATAAGCTAGTTTAAAGAAAGCTCCCGCGCCAATTGTAACAGCTGAAATGTGCCACGTGCTGTGAAGTATAATGAAGTATGTAATATTGTTTGTCGTGCTCCTGATTTTTCGATTGCAGCTTGTGACAGAATTGAAAAGTCATGCCCAGATGAAACCTGCAAGGCACAAACACGCATCAACAATCAATTCTTGACGTGCATGTGCAACACAGACCTCTGCAATGGCAACATTACTTGGGGAAAAGAACAGACTTCACACCCCTACTCTTATTTTTCAGGTATGGTATTAATAAGGTTATATAACCGTGAATTACTAAATAAATGTATAATTTAAGAATAATATATCATAATACAATTAGAAGCATTTAAAAAGCCTAAAACACTTCATGTCCTTCCCGAGGCAACCCCAAAGGAATTTGTGCCCCTCGGGGAATCAAACCAAAGATCTTTTTCTTGTTAGGCTCTTGTTATGCTGAATATATATTCAGGTGGTTGACAAATTTAAGGAAAAATCAACATTAAGTGTAACATTACCAGACACCCAACACTTGGCATTGATTTGTCAGTATCTGGAACAGTTAGCCATCACCATGCCAGCAAAATGGCTCACACACCATTACAAAGATCTCTAGCTCAAATTGTTGTGTTTTTCCTTGAATTCTTCACCCATTCGCATGTGCGATAGATATGATCATTCATTCAGAATTCAACTGGCACCTAATCCTTTTTTCTCCCCTTTTTAGTCGTCTTCATGAAAAAGGCTGTGAAACCTCTGGTTGGGATTTTGCTCTTTATGTGTTTCTGGATCGTTGCTGCTCAATGGAGAAGTTGCCTAAAAAAGAAAAGTAAAGTTCTTTTTTCTTCAAAAACATTATTTATGATTTAAATACCACTTGAGTAATTCAGTTTGACCTGACTGACTCCACTGCAAAAAAAGAAAAGAAAAGAAAAGAAAAGAAAAAATAGTGAATCTTCTTTTACACCTTCAAAGTTATGCTTTACCCTCAGATTTCTCAGAGAAGTCCAGCATGCAGGGCAAAAACACTCAAATTCAGTTTGCTATTTTCCTAAAAATAACAATGTCACTTTTAATGCTTTTTTTTTTTTTTAATGCTATAATTTAATTAATTATTCATTTTGGCAGTCTTAATTCCTAGGGTCAGGACTGCCAAAATGAAATAATAAAATTATCATGAAATAATTAAATGTGTCAATAATTAATTAAAATGTGAAATAAATAATTAATAATTAATTAAATATGTCCAAATATGTATTTAATTAATTAATTACATATATATATATTTGATTAATTATTGACACATTTAATTAATTATTTCATGATGTATTTATTTATTATTTAACGGTCTATTTAATTAATTCATTTTGGCAGTCCTGGCATTCCATACTTGTTGAGTCGTTCTCTGGGATGTGTAACTTGCGTGAATTTCATTAAGGGATAACATCGCATGTGATAAAAGTTGACAACAAGCTGGCCAGCTCAGAGGTTGAAGACTGTTTTGTTTAAGGTCCATTTTCTGCCTTCAGTTTTACATTTTTAGTGTTTAATATTTGCATTGCATGTTCACATCAATCAACTGTGATGAGATATTAGGTTTACCCGTCTATTTTTAGTATTAATATGGTAATAATGTGTCCATTTGTCTTTTTTAATTCCACAGAAGAATAAAGCTATTGTTTCTACATTTTCTCAACTTAAATTGAGTTCCCATGATGTCTTGGCCTTGAAATGCCTTCATTCTATGTGCTACGCTGACCTTGGTTTTTATCTGTGTTACGGTACTCCCTCTGCTACTCTTCAGTCACATTTCCATGCTCTCAGTAACTAATCAGGAAGCTTTCAAATGAATGGTGGCTTTATTGTACTACCAGATTACTTTCTATGAGTGGCAACTAAATCACTTCTTTACTATAATATTTCAGAGAAGAATCTACAGTCCCCCAGTCATTACCACATCCGACCCTCCTGTTCCTGCCAAATGACAAAAACCTCTGAGATCGACATCAGTCAGATCGAGCTACAGCAGGTATGCTCTGCTATGAAACAGGTTAATTCCACAGTAGGTAGTGTGCAAATTATCAGCAAGAAATGCATACAGGTTCTGATTCTTTACTTGTTTATGTCCTGCAGATTGTGGGCCGAGGGCATTTTGCAACTGTTTTTCAAGGGACATACCAGGGCTCTGTGGTGGCTGTCAAATTTTTACCTGCAGCCTATGAACATAATTTTAACACAGAAAAGGAGATTTATGAGCTACTGCTGTCAAAGCATACTAGCATTGTGAACTTTCTCGGTGCTGGGAGGAAACCAGATGACAAAAGCTGGTTCATCGTGCTGCAGTTTGCTGAATATGTGAGTGAAAACCTTTGCACGAAGACAACAGCTGCTCAAGGAAAAAACTGCATGGAACAGACCAGAGAAATATTTGTAAATAATACTAAGAGTCTGTTACAAGTGACAAATAGAATATATAGGTAAAAGAAAAATATTTATTCAAATTATCTAAAGTAACGTGAGTAAATGTTAAAGAAAAATGAATAAATGAACAGGCGCTAAAAATGTCAAATTATATGCCAGGTTAAGCCACTGTGTTTAAAAATATTTATTAAACCAGCTATTCTACCCACATCTCTTATTTAATCACAATGACTTCAGCTCCTTTTTGATCCCATCGGAGACTGAAGGAAACATGTCGCATTATGTGACTCATTCATCATTAAAACCATTTCTGATCAGATGTCTAGTCCGAGACAGAATTATCGTAGAGTAAGGCTAATAAAATTATTGCAAACACTAAGTGGAAACGATTGTAAAGATTTTAAGATGGGTATACTGAACAAAACCATTAATAAAGGTTTAATGGGTCAGGGGTCAGGATTGCTGCCTCACAGCAGGAAAGCTTCCTAGTTTGAACTTAGTCTTTCTGTGTGGAGCTCTCACATTCTCATAGTCAGAAGACATTCATGTCATATTAAGCTGTTATTCTAACCTGGACATAGATCGGATAATCCGGTACTGTATGGTTAAACCTTGTAGGACTTCAGTTGATCAGTAAGAGTAGAACAGCTCTACATAAAGTTTAAAACTAATGCTAATGTGTGAAACATAATTGCTTTTCTATATTTATGGTTGAATAGTTTATGTTCGATGGCTCTAAGTCTATAGCGCTTTATGTATTTGAAACCACTGTATGCTTCAAGTACGAATGACTATTATCCCTTTGATTTCAGGGATCTCTTCATTCCTTTTTGTCAAAACAAACCACGAGCTGGATGTTCTCACTGAACCTGTGCCAGTCGCTATCACAGGGACTTTCCTATCTCCACTCTGACCTTCTCAGCCATGGTACTGGCCAGAATAATATTGCAACAAATGCATGTGTGCATGGGTTGTCTGTTTGATGTGGGAAGCATAGAATGCATGTTTTTAAACTATTATCATCAAGAATAAAGATGAGTTGTTTTTATCCAAACAATGGATCTACTGCAGTGATTCATCTAATGTGGCCACAAATCTTAAATAATGATAAGCTGTTTATGTGAGGCTGTCTTGGTATGTGAGAGTAAGCTACAGGAACAAAATATTGTTTATTGGATTTTTCATACAGATTTGCACAAACCTCCTGTGGCCCACAGAGACCTCAGCAGCTCCAACGTGCTGGTGAAGGCGGATGGTACCTGTGCCCTGTGTGATTTTGGATGCTCCACCATTCTGCGTTCTTGTTCAGAGCCTTACCGCAGGCACAACCAGAATAAAAACACAAAGGTGAGACACAGGTACTACTGTTTATCCACTCAAATCCTCTTATTTAAATAACAAAACAAAAAAACTTGAAGACCTAGACTTGCTGCTGTTTTTTGAAGTAATTAAAATTTCACACTAGAATTACATGAAATCAAAACATCCAATATTATTACTTATTTCTAATAGATACATTTGTATTTTTGTAGTGTATTCAACTGGGCACGCTGCACTACATGGCTCCTGAGATCCTGGAAGGCTTTGTGAACCTGAACGAAAGCATGTTTCTCATGCAGGGTGACGTTTATGCTTTGGGTCTGCTGCTGTGGGAGATCTGGATGTGCTGCTATGATTTATTTGAAGGTTAGTCATTATGAGTAGATGATATGATGTTATGATGTTCAAAAATAAGTCCAAGGCTCTTTAGAGTAGTACAGAAGGCCAAGGTAAAGTTATTCAGAGTACCTAAACGGCTTGGCAAACTGTAAAAAGGTTGCTGTATATTGTGTAGCTGTAAAGTGCAGCTTTATTTGACTAGAAATTATCTTTTTTTTTTTTTTTACATGTAAGGTACGTACTACAAGAAAAAGCTTTTGTGTTTCTGTTCATGGAGTGAAACTGTGGAACAGTTTGAATATGGAATTAAAGCAACGTCCAAACAGAAAACAGTTGAAAAAGAGTTATAAAAATATGATCTTCTCGAACTATAAAGAAAGGGAAAATATTGATAATAAGTGAATATCTCTATTTAAAAAATTTCATGATGTGATATTATAGTATATAGTATATATTATATCAGAAATCTGTTCACTATTTTTATTACAGATTATATCAGTAAGGAAGCTGACTAAATATTAACTGATAACTTATGGCAAAGGGGTGGGATTAAATAAGTGTGTACTTCTTCCCACTCCCTTTCAACATGTAAATGAATCAGAACGGTAGCAATATTGAAATGTATTGACTTTTGTATAGTATTTTCTCTCTCTCTCTCTTATTTTCTTTACAAAGTGTACCTGTATATTGTTTACACGTTTGAAATAAATTAACAAACAAACAATAATGGTGCAGCAGTGCAAATGATAAATGTCATGTCATACACCTGCAGTGTTTCTGATGTGTTTGGAGTCAAATATGATACTTTTAATGTAGTCTGAATTTAGAAACAAAAAACTGCAGGTCATTCAGTTTTCTCTGCTTTAAGGCGAGCCTATTATTGTAATGGGTTGTCATTATCAACAGTACAATTTCAGGCTGTTGCTAGAGTGTCCAGCTTTCATTCCTCTCAGAAAATATCAATTACCACACTGGCTTTTCAGTGGGTGTGTCACTGAAAGGGGAAAACTGATCTGAATCAGAAACTGGTGAATAGTGCGCTCCAGCCGGCCTGGTTTCCCAGTTGCTTGAAATCTGATAGTTAATGCATTGGTTTCCGGGCTGACAAGTCATATTTTCAATTCACTAAGCCTAGAAAAAACTAATAGCACTGCTTCCACCTGCAGGCGGAGCTGCACCACAGCATCTTTTGCCATATGAACTAGAGCTGGGAAGCAATGTAACACTGGAGAGCCTCATGCTGTACGTGTCCTATATGGACAAAAGACCCTGTATACCTGAACACTGGGAACTGCTACCACAGGTATTCTTGCATAGGGGCTTTGTGGTACCACTTACACCTGTGGTGTCTGTAATGTGTGGACTAAATGTTTATTGTTCTCAGGGAGCTGCGCTGAGGGAGCTCCTGGAGGATTGCTGGGACAGTGATTCAGAAGCCCGACTGACAGCTCACAGTGTTGTGGAAAGAATAACCTCTCTTCAGTCTTCTTACTCTCTGTGACTTCTTTTTCTGTTGTCTTTTCAGGTAGACATGATTTTGTACTGCTTTCCTTCAGAAACCTTTTTCTGCATCAGCTGCCATAATGACCTCTTATCTGGCAGTTCTGATATAAAGTGAACTCTGATAGCATTACTCAGCAGGCTCATAGGCATTTCTGTCCCAGTTTACTCAGAGCTATACTGACAAGGAGACTGAATTTCATCTCATTAATAGTACCACTGACGCCTTACTTCAGCAGGAACTGGTTTCACTGTTTCTTTTAAAGCCCACAGGATTTGTGTTCGTGCTAATGGAAAGCCCTGTGGTATATATTACAAAAGAGAACCGACCAAAGTAGCAGCCATGCAAGTTCAAAACATCTCAGAAATGCAACAAATATCACCCAAAAAGCAAATGTTTCATACGCATAAACTCAATTTAAATTGAACCTCTCCCTAAACGGTCACTCCTAAAAAAACGAAAAAGAAAAAAGATAAGATCAGAGTGTTTCCTTTGTTTCTTACTAAATATTCCATGATCAACTGTAAGTGGGATTATTGGAAAGTGCAAGTATTTATTTCAGTTTTAAATTTCAAGCTAAATCTAATTTTTAGGTCTTCAAACAAAGAAACATGAAATTCATGTTTTATTGACATTTATTCTTCATTAACTTCAGTATCTCAATGATTGAGTGCTGTTTACTAAGTTACTGTTACTGTTCAAGTTACTAAGTAACTGTTGAATCCCAGGAGACTCCCCCAGTGCATATATCTTACACTGTGTAACTTAGCTGCCTTTAAATTAATGTGCATAATGTTACCTTTTTAATCCCATTTATCACTTATGAAAGAGAGGATAGCAACAGGGACAAACTCCAAGCGTACACCGTTTGACTGCTGTGGCTGGGCTTTGAAGGTGATGCAGAATACCAAATATAATATTCATTTAAAAATGTGTAATCAAGGAAACTTATGAATTAGAGAATTTTCATTTATTAAATTAATTATAAAGATTATTTTAAAACTGACCACTAGATGTCACTGTTCACTCACATCTATTTGTTTGCAGTGGAAACAATGGATTGTGATCTCATCACAAATCTATTCTCAACACTACAACAAGGAAAAAAGCCAGCATGTTCAACATGTGGCCACATTCTTCTGGCTTACACTTGAAATATATTTATTTAAGCATTTCGTTGTTTAAACTTTTGCATTCAACTGAAATGTTGTTTTCATGCAAAAATGTCACTGATGTTTCAGAGATGCATGCTCATGCCTCAGCAGCATGTCTTTTGATCTCCAACCTTCAACCACAAGTTTAAAACTGTTTCTTTGGCATTGCCTTATTGTATGCTGCATGCACTGAATTCCAGTATGTAACTGTCATTACAAATGTTGCTGTGATTAAGTCAAAAGTTTGCACAAAGCTCCAAAAATATGACTTTATATGTCATCAAATTTTAACAACAGTAGAGAAACAAATGAGAAAGAAGTATTTGAACCAGTATAATATGCTTGTGGTGGGTAACCCAACGAAGGAGTCAGTCGAGGATGAATAAGTTTAACAATTTCCAAAAATCCACAAAGAACAGTAAACCTCATTTTAACCCTTGTCCTACTTTTAAGCCCACTTTCTGTTAGTGTTCTTTTGATGTTACCAACCACAAAAGCCAGAGACGTCATGTACTGCAGTCTAATGGTCTTGCAGATATTCTGGGTGATTTAGTCATGCACGGAAACATCTACTAGAGAGCTCACAGTTATGCTGGTGTCCTGCCTGATGCGGTTTCATTAGAACTAACAAAAGCGTTTCTTTTAATAAAGCAGCAGAGCCACTGTGGTATTTTAAAATGCTATATCTTCAGTTTCAAACACATTGCTTTCCTCAAAATATCTTGTAGCTGTGAACTCCTCGTCCAGCATATGATAAAGCTCAGTCCTTTCAGCTGAAACTGCTACTGACACTAATGATTATTTGGAATAACTTGTAGTTTCCACTTTTTTAAACTCACCTTGTATCACATAAGCTGGAGTGGGACCTGCTGCTGCTGCTGCTTCACTCTCTCTGGCTGCGTTTTAAATTAAGGGCCACACATTACCTGGTGTTAAGTTCTGCTAGGGAAATTTGGCAGATATAGTGCAGATACTGGTTTAACAACTGCTGACAGCTAAACCATCCTTAACTTGTTAGTTGTACTCTGCACACAACACAGCCACAGAGCATGTATCTCTCACTGTCCTTTGCTTCTGCTGTCTTATTTCATGACGTTTAACCGAGGTTACTTTATCTATAACAGTTTTTTTTGTTTCTTTGTTTTACTGTTTAAAATGTACGTTTTAAATAAAAGAATAAAATCCCTTTTCTTTGACTGCAAAGTCTCTGCCAACTTCCTCAGAGTCTTCGAAGCTCGCCGCATGGCACAGCATCACCACAAATGTCTGATTGAAGTGATGGATTTAGGGTAAATCTGACCCGCAGGACATTCCCCGCATGCCTTCTTCCCCCGTGTTTCTGCCGCTGGGTAGGTCAAGTATTCGCTGGAAAAACCCAAATTAATCCCAAACGAGTGTGACGCTCGGGGATGTTGCCTTGTGGAGGCTCCACCCCTCGCCTCGGAGCGTGTGGTTCCCGTCGCTCCTGTTGCTGTGTTCCTGAGACTGAGAGTGGTAGTAGAAAACAACAGCTGGGCCGATAGATCAGACGGCTTTGGGGCATTTCTTAATTGTCAGACCATTACAGAAGCCTCCTTTAAACGTGTGAGACTCTATATGGACAACCCGATCATTAAAAAGAGCTCCAGCTGCTTTTTATCAAAACTCAAATTGATTTGGGGATCCGGTCCCGAGGAAAGCTGCTCCTGACAGGTGCGCAAAGTGCGCAGAGAGGATGGGCAGACGTGAGGCGGACAGCAGAGACGCAATGAACACTAGCGGACGCTCCGAGCTGGGCTGCCTGCAGGACGCGGCGTCCAGCAGCCAGCATGGCGGCGAGCAGTCACCGAGAATGGACAGCCGCCGTGCCTGCAACGCGGAGAAGCGACAGAGAAACATGAAAGTAGGCGTGGAGGCGCTGGGCCAGGCATCCACAGCCACAGCGTCCATTGAAGTAAAAAAGCATCAGCACAAGCACAACTTAAAGCACCGTTATGAGGTGATGGAGACGCTGGGGAAAGGCACCTACGGCAAAGTGAAGAAAGCGGTGGAGAGAGCGAGCCTGAAGACGGTAAGATGGTCACCATAACCCATCATATTATACTGCCTCAAGCTTTTCGGAGCTGTGTGGCTGAAGGACTCGTTATTTCCTAAACAAAGGGCGAAATGTGGTGAAAGGAAACGATAAATTATCAGTTTCTGAAATTGATCTGACCTCCTAACCTCGTCTGCTGACCCTGTAAAAAGCCTATAAAAAGTGTAATGTGATTCCCATGCTTTTACTTTTCGCCTGTGTCTTCATGCGTCTGTGCTTGCGTGCTGCACTTGCCACAGTGTTGCTCAGTGGTAATTAAATATTAATTTGAAGGTGGAAAGAACTTCGTGGGGGGCGCTCTGCGTGTGGTAGGATATGCGTTGATCCTGAACCCATTTCTTGTGCTGCCAGCTTGAGATGCCTTTGGTCTGACTCACTCAGCAATTGAAAAAGGGGATAAAATCACTACAATAGGTCTGCTCCAACTAGAGTCTGACCCCTAAAAACCCAGACTTAAGCACACACACACAGAGAGCAAGACATAATACCATAACAAGTTTCTATTTAACTTCACAATCTGAATATCTAGGTTAAAACAGAATGTGGTGCCAGATTAGTTTGAATAATCGTGGGTTTATGTCTGGTCAGACCTTAATCCCTCCCTCTGTGCTGTGATCTGAGAGGACGGGGCCTCATCAGTTTCCTTTCTGGTTTATTTTAGTAAATAAACACAGTTCCATAATCTGATTGCGACAAAAAAGATGATCCTGATTAGAGTGAGTTTCTCACAATTTGTCTGGCTCCTTCAACTGTGATTGCCAGATCTCCTCACTGATAGTAACCCCCGCCAGGTGTGGAGACGTCGTAGCCCTCACCAACTAGAAAATGTCTCAGTATATCAGAGACTGCCTACCCCCCTTCCCTCAACCCCCACCAGTTTGCTTACAGAGCAAATCATTCTCAGCCCTCTATTGTACACCTATGACTGCACACCAACCCAGCCAACTAATGACATCGACACGTATGCCAATGATGTCCTGACGGTGCTCAGAAAATAACCTGAAGCTTAACTCCCTTAAAACAAAAGAACTCATAATGGACTTCATAAGGCAAAGCTAGGTCTACTCCCCACTCATTATAAATTAAGAATGGGTGGAATCTGTAGAATCACCCACATCTCCATGGATCTCACCTGGAGCCACAACACCCTGGTAAAGAAAGCCCAACAGCAGCTTCATTTCCTCTGTGTCCTGAGGAAGAATAACCTGGACCAGAAGTGGCCTTCTACAGCTCCTCATTGGAGAGTGTGCTCTTCTACTTCCTGGGTGTTTGCTACGCAGGGGCCACAACAGAGAACACGAAGCCTGTGCAGAGCGTAATTAACATCACCTAAAACATCAGTCACTGCCCTCTACCACCCTTGGAAGCCATCGCCAGATCCTCCTATCTCAGGAAAACCAGGGCCATCACAGGCGACCCTTTGCACCGCGCCCACCACCTCTATGACCTGCTGCCTTCTGGTTGGCGCCTCAGGTCAATCAGGTCCCACACCTTCAGACTCAAAAACACCTTCTTCCCCTGGGACATTCAGACTGTCAAAAAACACTTTCTCCCCACACCCCACCCCTGCCCAATCACCTCACTAATCTGAGCCATGGCCTGAGTTACCCTCATCACTCATGCCACTCACACACGGACTCTATTCATACCAGGTCATTTCTTTGCACGACTTTCAAGCACTTTGCAACTTGTTTTCTGTTGTGTACAATTCAATTCTATTCTATATCTTAACATGTAGTGAAGCATGTATAAGAGACTGCTGGTAGGATACAGAGAGATGAACAAGGCCATGTAGAGTGTGTGTGTGTGTGTGTGTGTGTGTGTGTGTGTGTGTGTGTGTGTGTGTGTGTGTGTGTGTGTGTGCGTGCGCGCGCGCGCGCGTGCAGGGTGAGTGGGTTTGGTAGGACAAGGGGGAAAAGCTGAATTCCTTGAGCCATTAGCAGGCACATACCAAGGATTCTTTGAAACAAAACAGGCATTATTTTTGGAAACAAGGCTAGCGGGCTGTTTTGTGAGCTTGGGGAGATGGGAGAGGAAAGCAGGAAGAAGAGCAGGAAGAGAAGGCACTATGAGTGATTTTATATTAAGGAGCTCACTTGAGACTTGTTCCTGTAAAGTGTCTAAGTGGTTTTCCTGTGACGCTGCAAGAAAGGAATGTAAGTCATCCTCATGAATGCACAGGGTAAAGCAAAAGGAAAGATGAATAACCAGCCTTGGTTATGCAAGCTAAGTATTCTGTGGTCACTTACCCTGGTTTGGAGCCTCACTTGTTTTTAAAGCTTAAATATCGTAGGCAAGAAAGAAAAAAAAAAGGAATTGAAGCAATCAGATAATGCCATCAGAAAAAAATTCTTGTTTCCTTTCTTGCATTTAATGTATATGTCTTTGCCCAGTTTCCCATCAGTTCTGCAATTCCTGGTTAAGGAAAGGGACGGCTTAAGGCTGTGTGTAGATGATTGGAGGTCAAGGGTCACTCTGGCAGGAAGCCTGTATAATTCTGCCGCTAAATCGTTCACAGATGCAGCAGGGACCTTTAGTGATGCTCAGGCTCCTGGGATACATTTGTGTGTTTGTGAGAATAGCAGGGTAGGAAGGAAGTTGGTGCACACCCCAACCCCCATGATGACTTCATACAGACAAACACACCTGCAATAAGTCAAGACTGGAGTCAGCAGGAAAACAAGAAGGGGATGGGAAAGCTAGTACATCCCTTTGCACATCTAAAATTGCCATGCCATCATAATATAGGCCGTGATGATGTCAGAGAACGCCTGAATGACTCCCACATGCTGCGTTGTGTTTCCTACACATTGTTGCAGTTTGCATGGTTGCAGTTTTTAGAGGAAACGATGAGATGTTGTTGGTGAGAAGGATACTTTAGAGGTCATATCTCTGCGTGATGCATCTGCAGGATATTTGCAGGCATAAGGGTGAGATCACACAAACAACCACAGCTTCCTCTACTCACACATGGCCCCTTGAAATCAGTCAGATAAAATGCTCACTTTGCCCTGAACCATACCCAGAGGGTCTGTATTCCCTGTGTCATGTGTCACTTCAAAGTCTTGGTAGTAAATTAGAGCTGAGACGGCAGTAGAATTTTTTGACTCCCAGTCTATATCTTGATGTGTCTAATCCATAACTTTTATCTGTTATATTGCACTAAATCATCCCAGTAACTGATTTTACAGTCTCCCCTTCTCTTCCTCACATTGCTTTAAGTATTTGGGTCATAAATGGCTCTTTAGTGAGCATCAGAATCTGCCTCCCCAACTTTTTAATATCTGCCCTTCAGCTGATGACCTCATAAATCAGAAGGTCACTTCAGTCTCAGGGGTTCCCTGGATGGTGTTCGTGTTGTGTTGCATAACTATCATGGTTGATGGAGCGTGCGAACTGTGTCTCTTCCAGTTTTTCGGAGACATTTTTTTCCCCCCGCCAGCTGAGAAAATTCGAGTTTTGACCTGTGGGAGCTCACCCACAGGGACATGCAAAATTATACAGCGCATGTTTCGTCCCATGTTTAAATATCAGCCTCACAAATTAGTCCCATGGCTTCAGCTACTTGTTATATTCCACGTCTCTGTTGTCCTTTGTGTATTTTAGGCACACTCCGATGCCTCGTTGTCTGCCTGCATGCACTTGTCTCGTCTTTGTAAAGTGTTGATTATGTGACACTTATTCTATCCAACCAGTTTTATAGGTTTGTTTTAGGATGCATGTTTTTATTGCGGGCCTGCGTGTGTGTGTTCAGAAGCTTCGGGTTGCACTGGTGTATGGGATTAAAGAAGCAGAGTGTGAACACTGCAGCTGTCAACCTTCTGCCTCTGAACATCTCACATCACGAGATCTGCTCTCACCATGCAGCCTTTAAACCCACATAATCATGTCTAATACCCAGAGATTTTATTAGTGTATGAGCGTGTGTGTTTTTAAGCATCAACAGTATGTACAGTATGCCTTTGTTTCCATGTTTGGCTGTGCAGATGATGCATGAACTGTTTATTTATTTGTTGCTTTGATGGAGGTAAAGCAGAAAATGGTTAAATTTGTGTGTTTTCTGAGGAATTTATGGAAATTAAATCTACTGGCTCAAGTTTTATTACTCAGTCACTAGATTTAACACATGGTGTATGAAATTTGGACACAACCTTTTTTGTATAACATCCTCTAAACTTTGTCTTCCTTCCAAGGTGGCGATCAAGTCAATCCGCAAGGAGCGCATCACCGACAACCTGGACAGAATTCACATCCAGAGAGAGATTGAGATCACATCTTCACTCAGTCACCCCAACATCATACGCTTCCATGAGGGTAAGATGACACTGACACACCTTCCCACGTAATCAGACAATTTCATAGTTTGGTATCCAGCTAGCGTTTAGGCAGTCAATATTTTAAAGAACGTTAGTTGAAAGATATTAAGTTCCACAACACACACAGCAGCATTTACAGCAGTGTTGTTTAACAATGCCAGGGGCTAAGGGATAACGCTGGTAATGCTCACAAATCCTATTTGAAGCCCAAAACCAACAATGACACGACCCAACTAAGTATTTCCTATTTGTACAAAGAATCGTACACATGTCTTCTTACTCCGTTCCATAAACTTGCATTGTTGTTAAATACTTAACTTAAAATCATATCACTGATGCACTAATTTGGGAAAAATATCCCAAAACTACTACAAATACCACTCTGGGTCAATTCAGGCTAAACCACCAAAATACTCACTGCAGCAAGAAGGAATCTCCCCAAAAATGATTTGCTAAAAGCTACAGCACCCAGAAATGAAACAATATGATGGAAAAGAATTGTAAAACTTCTAAAACAGCCTTGAGAGATGGTCTTTGGTATCTTGTTTCATCATCTTGTAGTGTTACTTAACAATAAAAACAGAAGATTTTTACCCTTATTCACTAAAGGTCTCCCATTTATTGTTGGATGGGTATTGTTGTTCAATAGAACAAATGAGGAGGATGTTATAGTCATCAATAAGATAAAAAATTCCAGTTAGCCCCACACCTGTCACTATACTTAAGTATATCATTTCGATTGGTAGCCATTCATCAGGTGAGACTCTTTTAAAGTTGTACAAATGACAGAAACTGCAGATATTTCTGTTTCTATGAAGATTTATTGAAATCAATAAGCATTTGCATACACGGATTACACAGGAGTTGAAAACCTACACAGCCAAAACAGCATTAAAGGTTTCTGTTTTCCTGTGTTGACAGTGTTTGAGAGCCGGGATAAGATTGTGATTGTGATGGAGTACGCCAGCAGAGGAGAGCTGTATGATTACATACAGGAGAGGAGGCGACTGCCAGAAACAGAAGCCCGCAGCATCTTCAGACAGATTACATCTGCTGTCCACTACTGCCATAAGGTTTATACACACCAAACAACCTACCCACATGTGTTCTGCAGGTGCCCAACAGGAATACATTACAAGTTAGCAAATTGCACACAGGCACGTGTGCACACATGCAAATACTGTACCGCTTAATCCTAATCCTATTACTGCAGAAAAACTTGACTTGAGTTTTCAGATCTCTTTGGGTTAAGAGCGCATTATAAGGCTCGATTGTTCTTTACAGTCACACACTGACACATTTAACAAACGCTAAATGAGCCTCCTTCAACATTATTGTAAGCCTTGGCATAGAAACAAACACTTCTTTGTTTCTCTGATTTATTGTTGTGTACATAAAATCAGGCCAGAAAGCAGGAATTATCGAGGACTTATAGGGCTTTGGAGTTGACGTCACGCCGCAATGCATTGTGGGAGCGCAGCTCCATTTTCGGGGTCTACGAATCAAAACAAACACACTGTGTTGGAACGACGACGACAAGAAACATGCTTAAAAGCAGCTCAAAAGAAAACGGACGGTATAGAGACCGATTGCGTCCAGAGGCAAAGCAGCAGTACTTGAAAAAAATAGCGTGCATCACAAATATGGACCCATATGAAATACTTCAGTGGAGTAAAGACCCAGACGACTTACTGCAACTGTCCTACCCCGATATCTTCACGTATCTTGTTTGTGGAGTAAGCGCTTACACAGCGAACCAGTTTCGTAATTACAAGTCACTGGAGGCGCACATCCAATTTACAAATGGCTGGGTGCAAGATTTGGCTATTTTCAAGCCGCCAAACTCTGAGTACGTCGTCAAAGTAAGTCAGCTGGAGTGCACCGAGTGAAATAGCCATTTTCCACCCCCCACCATAATTAATGTTACACATTTATCATTTAACTGCTAAAATATCGTTATCATATTATATGCCCATAATTGTAAAGTACATGCAAGTTAACACATTGATAATCGGGTAAATTATTAACGCCAATTTGTGTCCTTCCTGTCTCATTTCATTTATTGTCTTTACATCAACCAATCAAGTCACTCCATTCTATGTTTGATCGCAATTTCTATAACTTCTGAGACCACCAACGATGATATTATTCAGCTATAAAGTGTGATGTGAACATATTTAGAACTTACCGGAATGAAAATGTCTTGAGCACACCAACTGATATCTGGAGACGTAACAGAACTTGATATCAGCTCGTCTCACGGCTGCTATCCAGGCTAGACGCCTTCGTTTGGTAATATCTGATACATGAGCTCCTTCATGTTGCTTCCAGGTTGGGAAAGCATAAAAAGACAATCCAAACTTATTCCCGTGCCGGTCGTAAGATCGAACATTGCAGCCGACCGCACAGCAAGTACGAACCATGGCTATGCTTTCGCTCCTTACTTAGACCCCCAAAATGGCGGATCGGGCCAAAATCCTTTCCACGCCCACCCCCGTGACATCACGCTCCAAACCCCTATTAAGTCCTGTTTAAACAGAAGTGCATTACAGTGGAACTTAGGATATCTGCCTGACTGTCAGCTGAGCTGGACATGGGGAAAAAAAGGCAGTTGTTTTGCTTTTCTTATTTTGGCAGTTTGGACTCTGTGTGAATCTGCTCACGTTAAACTTATCATTCAGCTTCTGCGTCTCTGTGGTGTGCAGGGTGATGGAATTTGGGCTCCTCGTGCCCTTGAATATTGTCCCAAAATAGACATGAATGTTCCAGCGTGAATGAATTATTGAATGTGCCTCAGAGGTATGCGGTGCACATGGAAAGACGAGCAAGACTTCACGAGAAAAATGGAAATAATCGAGGGCCATTCACTGCTCCGTTCACAGGCATTTTAAACGATAGTAAAATGCCTGTAAACGACCTGATAAACCACATCTAACCATACGTGTGTCTGCCGTGCTTGCACACATACACACATAGTGCAGTTACATGTAGCACACAAAGCACTGTCTGAGGTCATTGGCCATTTCCTTCACATAAGAAGAGAATTTAATAAATGAAATAAAGTTTGTTTAAGACGAACTGACAGGAATGTTTAAAGTGTCACATGATTTCCTGGGTGACCACACCTAATGAGGTACTACATATGCAATTTATTTTGCTACAAATAGTGTAGATTTTGAGTCATCTGCCTTTTCCTTGCACACTTGTGCTTAATGCCAGTCGGCGACTCAAACCGTCATCCGATGAAAAAACAGAGCACCTTCTCATGCTTGAGAATAATTAAACAGTCTGATGATCTTCCTTCAGACTCTCCAAGAGCAGGACCTCAAGTGTGTTTCTCCTGTCTTGCAGAACGGGGTTGTGCATCGAGACCTCAAGCTGGAGAACATTCTTTTGGACCAAGATTTGAATGTAAAGGTAGGATCCTAAGAAAATATTGTGCACTAACTGAGCCATCTTGCCACATTTCCTTAGCATTTAATGAGATAAGATAAGATAGAACTTTATTAATCCCTCGGGTGGGTTCCTCTGGGAAATTCTGTTTCCAAAAGCACAGCACCGACAGAAGTTACAGTTACAGAATGTTTTATTTATATATATATATATATATATACATATATATACACATATACATATATATACACATATATATGGTTCACGCCTACTGGCTGAAGAAGCTGACTGCACTCCACGAGCATCTGGCAGCACAAATGAACCAGCTGCTAGTTAACGAGAGACACCCGGAATGGCTAACTGAAGGCCGGACGGTCCTGATCCCCAAGGACCCCAAGAAGGGACCGGTCCCCTCCAACTACCGACCAATAACCTGCCTCAGTACTACATGGAAGCTCCTGTCAGGCATCATATCGGCTAAGATGAACAGGCACGTGGGTCAATACATGAGCGGGACACAGAAAGGAATTGGCAAGAATACCAGAGGCGCAAAACACCAACTACTGGTAGACAGAACAATCAGCCGAGACTGCAAGACCAGACTGACCAACCTGTGCACTGCCTGGATTGATTACAAGAAGGCCTATGACTCAATGCCCCACAGCTGGATACTGGAATGCCTAGAATTGTACAAGATCAATGGGACCCTAAGAGCCTTCATCAGGAACTCAATGGGGATGTGGCGTACAACACTAGAGGCCAACTCCAAGCCCATAGCACAAGTCACCATCAAGTGCGGGATCTACCAAGGAGATGCTCTGTCCCCACTGCTGTTCTGCATAGGCCTGAACCCCCTCAGTGAGATCATTAACAAGACTGGCTACGGATACTGACTACGGAACGGAGCAGTTGTCAGCCACCTCCTGTACATGGATGACATCAAGCTGTATGCCAAGAGTGAACGAGACATCGATTCACTGATCCACACTACCAGGCTATACAGCAATGACATTGGAATGTCGTTCGGACTGGAGAAGTGTAGTCGGATGGTAACAAAGAGAGGGAAGGTAGTCAGAACTGAGGGGATTGAACTACCAGAAGGCAACATTGCAGACATAGAGGACAGTTACAAGTACCTGGGGATCCCACAGGCGAATGGGAACCATGAAGAGGCCGCTAGAAAAGCTGCAACCACCAAGTACCTGCAGAGGGTCAGGCAAGTCCTGAGGAGTCAGCTGAATGGTAAGAACAAGATCCGGGCCATCAACACGTACGCCCTGCCCGTGATCAGGTACCCTGCTGGGGTAATAGGCTGGCCAAAGGAGGAGATAGAAGCCACTGACATAAAGACAAGAAAGCTCCTTACCATGCATGGAGGGTTTCACCCCAAATCCAGCACCCTGAGGCTGTACGCTAAGCGGAAGGAAGGGGGCCGGGACTGGTGAGTGTCAGCACCACAGTCCAGGATAAGACAACGAACATCCAAGAATACATTGGGAAGATGGCCCCAACTGACCGAGTGCTCAGTGAATACTTCAGGCAGCAGAAACCCAAGAAAGAGGAGGGAGACGAGGAACCATCATGGAAGGACAGGCCCCTGCACGGTATGTACCACCGGCAGATAGAGGAGGTGGCTGATATCCAGAAATCCTACCAGTGGCTGGACAAAGCTGGACTGAAAGACAGCACAGAAGCACTAATCATGGCAGCACAAGAACAAGCTCTGAGCACAAGATCCATAGAGGCTGGGGTCTATCACACCAGGCAAGACCCCAGGTGCAGGCTGTGTAAAGATGCCCCAGAGACAATCCGGCACATAACAGCAGGGTGCAAGATGCTAGCAGGCAAGGCATACATGGAACGCCATAACCAAGTGGCCGGCATAGTGTACAGGAACATCTGTGCCGAGTATAACCTGGAAATCCCGAGGTCAAAATGGGAGATGCCACCAAGGGTGGTGGAGAATGACCGAGCTAAGATCCTGTGGGACTTCCAGATACAGACGGACAAAATGGTGGTGGCTAACCAACCGGACATAGTGGTGGTAGACAAACAGAAGAAGACGGCTGTAGTGATCGATGTAGCGGTTCCGAATGACAGCAATATCAGGAAGAAGGAACACGAGAAGCTGGAGAAATACCAAGGGCTCAGAGAAGAGCTCGAGAGGATGTGGAGGGTGAAGGTAACGGTGGTCCCCGTGGTAATCGGAGCACTAGGTGCGGTGACTCCCAAGCTAGGCGAGTGGCTCCAGCAGATCCCGGGAACAACATCGGAGATCTCTGTCCAGAAGAGCGCAGTCCTGGGAACAGCTAAGATACTGCGCAGGACCCTCAAGCTCCCAGGCCTCTGGTAGAGGACCCGAGCTTGAAGGATAAACCGCCCGCAGGGGCGTGCTGGGTGTTTTTTATATATATATATATATATATATATATATATATATATATATATATATACATACATACACACATATATAAATACAGAGACAAATATAAATAAAAATAAAATATACGAAGGGGATAAATAGAATAAATAGGAATAAAAAATAAAAATACAAGTGAATTGCACATTTCAAGTATTGAGGTCTATTTGCACCATTGACCATTTACAAAAGTATTGCACAAAAGGTATTGCACAGTGAGGTGAAGAGGCACTACAACTTAGTTGTTCCCCCCTCCTTTGTCCTCCTGTCTCCCCTCCCTCTCCCCTCCAGAGAGGAGTTAAACAGTTTGATGGCGTGTGGGACAAAGGAGTTTTTAAGTCTGTTAGTTCTTGTCTTGGGGAGAAGCAACCTGTCACTGAACAGACTCTTCTGGTTGTTAATGGCCGTGTGCAGAGGATGCCCAGCATTGTTCATAATGTCCATCAGTTTCTTTAATGTCCTTTTCTCTGCCACTGTCACCAGAGTGTCCAGCTTCATGCCGACCACAGAGCTAGCCTTCCTGATCAGTTTCTCCAGCCTGCATGAGTCCTTCTTTGCTGTGCTGCTCCCCCAGCACACCACAGCATAGAAAAGTACTCCAGCAACCACCGACTGGTAAAACATCCTCAGGAGCTTCCTGCAGATGTTAAAAGACCTCAGCCTCCTGAGGAAGTACAGTCGGCTTTGGGCTTTTTTATACAGGTGCTCTGTGTTGCATGACCAGTCCAGTTTATTGTCCACCCACAGCCCGAGGTACTTGTACTTGTTGTCCACCTCCACCTCCTCCCCCTCTATCTGAACCGGCAGTGGACCTTCTCTGGACCTCCCGAAGTCCACAACCAGTTCCTTGGTCTTTGAGGTGTTGAGTTGCAGGTGGTTTGTGTGACTCCATGCGACAAAGTTCCTCACCAGACTTCTGTACTCCTCTTCCTGATCATCCCAGATACACCCCATGATGGCCGTGTCATCTGCAAACTTCTGAATATGGCATAATTCAGAGTTGTAGCAGAAGTCAGAGGTGTACAGGGTGAGGAGAAGAGGGGACAGCACAGTTCCCTGTGGTGCTCCTGTGCTGCTGACCACAGTGTCAGACGTGATGTCCTTCAGCCTGACGTACTGTGGCCTGTCGGTGAGGTAGTCGGAGATCCAAGCGACCAGGCAGGGGTCCACCTCCATCCTGTTCAGTTTTTCCTGAAGCAGACAGGGCCGGATGGTATTAAAGGCACTGGAAAAGTCAAGAAACAGGATCCTGACCGTGCCTTTTCCCCTCTATGCAGGAGGTACAGGATGGCATCCTCCACTCCGACACCCGCCTTGTATGCAAACTGTAGTGGGTCCTGGGCATGTTGTACCTGTGGTCAGAGGAGGTTGAGGAAGAGCCGCTCTAGAGTCTTCATAAGATGTGACGTCAGTGCCACCGGTCGGAAGTCATTCAGCTCATTGGGCCGGTTCCTTTTGGGGACCGGGACGATGCAGGATATCTTCCATAGGGCGGGCACTCTCCCCAGTCGCAGACTGAGATTGAAGACTCGTTGTAGCGGCTCCCCAAGTTCAGCAGCACATGCCTTTAGCATCCTAGGACACACCTTGTCTGGGCCTGCTGCCTTCCTGGGGCGAAGCTTCCTCAGTTGTCTACTGACCTGATCCACTGTGACACTGGGAGATGTTTGGGAGGAGGGGAGGGGGGGAGATGTCTTGCTGCTGAGAGAGGGATTGGAGGAGGGGGTGTCATGGTGTAGGAAGGGGGGGGGAAGCGAGGGAGGTAGGAGAGTGGGGAGAGGACTCTGTAGTAAAGGTGAGGGTGAGGGTGGGGGGGTTGTGGGCTGGTCAAACCTGTTGAAGAAGTTGTTGAGTTCGTTTGCCTTCTCCACAGTCCCCCCCACTGTGCTTTTCTTGGTGTTGTGGCCTGTGATGGTTTTCACACCATTCCAGACCTCCCTCATATTGTTCCCCTAACCCTAACCCCTTCCCATTATCATCTGATCCATGCTACGTGGATTGTTTTGCCGCCTCCAACATAAAATGCAAACACAGTGTACTTTCAGGATATATGTTGGAGCATTTTCTACCCAGAGGAATTTCAATGTGTTGTTGAGCAATGGACAGTGAATGTGAAAAAACACAATGTAAGGCCTTACAAAAGAACCCAGGGAATATTTCTTGCCTTATTTGGGCATTGTTCTCCCTATATCAGAGCTGTGCATGGTCAGCAGGGAATGCCGGGAATTTAGCGACAATCTTGAGGATTCATGCCAGTCAGGGGGTTTACGTATGTGTGCTCTGTCTGTCAAAAGAAAACGCTATGTGCAGACTTCTCTGCGGGTCTTCATTCGCTGCCAACCACATCACCGGAGGTTCACCGCACCGGCCTTTCTCGGCATCTGCTGCAGGAAATCACCGAGGCTCTGTGCAATGCGTTGTTATGTCTGCACAATAGCTGCTTAATGGCATCTGTATGGGGCAGAGAGAGGCAGATATGTGAAATGTTAGGTCATGTCAGGTTTAAAGTAGAATATTAGTCTGTAGAGTGTAACTTTGTGTTTGACTTTGTTTTCGTAAGCATTTGGTAGTCATTCATTCACTCTTCCAGCTTCATGAAGAACTGTCTCACTATAGACTGAATGCATGCAAACATATGGGAGTCCAAAGAAATGTGCTAATTGCCACTGGATATATATGAACAGTGAGCAGGCTTGCATTTACAGTGTTGTCTTCTTCAATGAGGTCTTTGTTTCCCCGTATCTCTCTACCATGGAAGTGAAGCTGTCATTGTGAATATTTTTAACACCACGAGGGCTGATAGTGAGCCAGCATGCATGTTTATAATCTTCGCAGATAGAGGAGAGACACAGTATGTCTGCGTATGGCTTTCAGAGCCTCGAGTGAGTGATTGTTCCATTACGTGGGCGTAAGCAGCCTGATGCTTTTGGCCCGCTCCCCTTTTCCTCGCTCACACTTACTCTGGCAAAAGCTCAGCATACCTGCAGTATTTTTGGCTCCTTTAAAAGGAATTGCTTTTGAGTTATTGTGTATTTTCTTTCCCACATGACTAAAAGCTTTCCGTACATAGTCACTGAAAAGGAATTTAGATTGCGTGAGGCCGAGTGCTAAAGTGAATGAAACTCAGTGCAGGATTCAGTGTGAACTGATTAGTTCACTGTGACATAAAGTTTGAGATATCAGTGTTTTGAGTTTGTGGAGAGACATCTGGACTGAGATCTGTTGTCTTGTAATGTGACAGTTACGCCATCTATGATTCACAGTGTCACATGAACCTCTTGTGTTTACTTGACACAGAAAATGAGCGCAGACACATCCAGCAGCTGTGAAAGCTTTGAATAGTGTCAGCAGTAGGAAGAAATAAAAATAATTATTAACAAAATATGTTAATTTGCATTCTTTCTTTTTTGCAGCTGGCTGATTTTGGCCTCTCAAATAATTTCCACAAGGGCACGCTGCTGCAAACCTACTGTGGAAGTCCGCTCTACGCTGCCCCAGAGATCGTGAAAGGGCTCCCATACCAGGGACCAGAGGTTGGTCAACATGCTGTTAATTCCCAGCATTATGGATGTTAGGTTGTTTTAAAATGTTCACAGAATAATCAGTTTTGTTTACTGCAAGACTGGAGGGCTGCTTTTGGTGAGATTACATCATCATTTAATGTCACCACATGTGGCTGGTTTTCTTTTAAAACAACAGCTTTCTAGTACATTAGCTAATTCTAACAACTTGCATTGTGGGTATTGTACGCACCAGATGCTGGCATGAAAAAAATCTCTTTAAAATGTAAAAAAATTATGATGTCGCTGGTTCTGCTGCATTTTGTGTCTTTCATGAATCCAACATTGTTATTTATATTAGTGCAATGCTAAATTACACTAATTTAGCAATGTAAAATTCATATCTTCTGGATTAGTGTAGCTTTAAACCACAGTACATCTTCTTTTGTTCATGAATATGCTTTAAAATAATATAATATTTCATTCTGTATGTGTTTGTGTCTTAGGTGGACTGCTGGGCACTGGGGGTGTTGCTGTATGCCCTTGTTTACAGCAGCATGCCATTCGATGGTGCCAGTCACACAAAACTCACAGAGCAGATCAGCCAAGGTCGCTATCGCAGACCCAACCCCCCCTCTGGTAAAGCTTCATAACTTTATTTTTTATATATATTTTTAAAGCTGTCAAATGGGATCTGGTTTGTCAGCGTAGTGGCCATAAATAACTGTTGACTCTGTCCCCTCCAGACGCCTGTGCTCTCATCGGCTGGTTGCTGACAGTGCGTGTGGATGAGAGAGCCACGATAGAGGACGTGGCTAACCACTGGTGGGTGAACTGGGGATATGAAGAGAGTGTGTGTGACTGCCCTTCATTTCCACACCAAGAGTGCCCCTCCCCGCTGCTGGCTCGCTACATCGACTGGCAGAATCAGGTTGCTGCTGCTAGCAGTTTGACGGCGGATGCAGACTGCCTGTCCTCAGACTCTTCCGGTCTTCCTCAACACGCTTCCAACCCCTTTTACTTCAGCTTACCTCTAAAGCACGAATGTGGGGGAGGTGCAAGGGTGCGCGGTGGAATATCGAGTCTTAGGAAGTCTCGCAAGGAGAATGCGATTCCCCAGACTGCACAGGGAGCTTGCAGTGACGTTTGTTTAGCAACTGCTTCTTCCGTGGTGATTTCCTCCAGTTCCACTTTTGAAAGAAAAAAGCCCAAAGGTATTCTGAAACACCAGAGAAGTTTAGATTCAGTCTTTCACACCCCTCCCAGGGATAACTCCCCCTCTCAGCTCTGTAACACTGCACCGCAGCCCTGTCGAACACACAGTCTTACTCATGCGTATGTTGACGTCCTATCAACCAGCCTTCTGTCTCCAACTACATTCAGTCAGCCGTCGTCCAAAATGCCCAAGAAAGGGATACTAAAGAACTTGTATGGTGGGGAGTCAGGTTATGGTTCCTCATCAGACAGAAGGGGCTCAGGTGTAGGAAGTACAGACAGTAATGCAGGTCAGTCCTGTTCCCACAAACAACAAACATGTCTCCCTGGAGTTGAAGACAGTCCCACAATGCGCACAGAAGCAGTAAGAAGACGTAAGGGTATTTTGAAACGTAATGGAAAGTTTTCTCGCAGCCTGGATCTTCCTGACAACCACCAGTCTTCTCCCTCTCCAACTCCTGCGATATTCCCAGAGGCTCTGCAGCATCTCCTCCAGACTGCAGGGGATGCTGAGGGCCGTCATAGCCGCCCCTCTAGTGTTGTGAGCGAGGATAGCCTCTTCTCCTCCGATTCCTTTGATCTGCTGGACCTTAGCTCCCAGTCACGTCGCAAGATTTTCTCAAGGGGGGTGCGGCACAGCTCAGAGGACGATTTGGAGCAGCTGAGAGGCGAGGCGGACAGGGTTGTTGGACAACGACAAACAAAAAAGGAAATGCTGTAATACGAAGCGTATTAGAAACTTTAGTGTGCTGAAAAACTGGGTTTAATTCCAGCTCTTCAGTTCAGTTTTATGTGATAATCAGTGCCTGCGATCTTGAAAAGACTTCATGAACTCTAGAAAGGTTGCATCTCAAGTACACAGACTCTCATGACCATTGCACTGCCGATGTAAAGCACCATGTCTCAGCATATTTGCAGCGATAAATTAAAGTGTAGCCTCTGACTGTTTAACTGTGTTCCTCCAAATGGGACCTGATTTCCAGCAGTTTGCAGAGACAGGACAGAATAGTCTGTTTAATGGACTCGGTCCGACCTCACCTGCACAACAGACTCTCCTTGTAGATTTTTGCAGATTGATGTTGACAACTCTCAAAATCTTTGTCTGAAGGCTGTCATCTGCTAACATGGTAATCCATGCATCTTTGATTTATCGACAATCATTGTATGAGTAAGTCAAAAGACTTAAAGATATTTCCATCCACCTGCATTTTTTGACCATTTTGGATATAAAATCTGATGTGTAAGTTCAGAAAAAAAGAAGAAAAAATACTTTTAAAGTTCAAAAAAATATGTGTGTATTGATAACAGTGAAATGTGGCAAAGTGCAATTGAAACTAGCTTTTTATACACTAATCGTGCATGAAGCATGTCAGATAGAAGCATACAGTATGTATGTGAGAACTAATGGCGAGGAGGAGCATTAGTTAAATTAATATATGAAACAAATGTAAATATAATTTCATTTTTTCTGCATTCTTTGGCAGTGCTACTAATTTTGCTGGTGATCTTTTGTAATATATAATTTGCACACTGTTGTTCTGCAGTGGTTGTGATAACACCCGGCAATAAATTTAACATCATCAGCTACTTATACTCAAGTATCCACCTTCATGCAGTCACACATACATATGGAAACAGATATGCATAGAAGTTTGCTTTTAGCTTAATGATTTTCTGAAATGTGTTCAAATGTGTGCAGTGTTTGGATGGAAACTAGACTGTAGCAACTTCTGTTATGATGATAAATTCTGCTCAGTTGACCTTTGGGATACTTTGTGGCAGCACTTTATAAACCTTATATAAACATTGCGACATGGTTATAGCGCACTAAAATGTAGCAGATATCAGGACATTTTAAGTGTTCAGTATTAACCTGTATAATCTGTCAGAAATTCTAATTTCTCATCTGAGAATAAATTGTGTTTTTATTCATTATCTGTTCATGCATCATCCTGCTTATGTTTATGCACTGTGGGCTTGCACAAGAGGAGCTATGGTTGTTAACAGACACTTCACATTGGTTAAACCCCATTTGTTAAATGTTTATATTCCGCTTATCTAAAATGCTAAGGAAAGTAATGCCGATGTCAATATTTTTTTTCAAGTATATTTATGCCACACAGTGTTTCACTGTGCACAGTTTGCTTCTTTGCACCAACACACACAGTGTGAATAGCAGATAGATCACATTGCTTTTTACCGTGACACCACCTGTGCTGCTCTGGATGTTTAGGTGATGTATGCAGTAGATGTATGCAATATTAAATCTGTGATTTTCATACTGTGAGAGGAAATACAAAGAATTCTCTTTAACTTTTTTTGTTTGTTTTTTTTTAAATATTTTTGTTTTTCTGGGTAAAATAAATTATTTGAATCTGAGCAGTTTGCAGTGTCTTTTCTGATGAAACGATAAATAAAATCAGCAGCATGTTGTAAGACGTATTGCATCTTGACCAACCATAGAGTTTGTACTCGAAAGCAGGGATGTTAGTTAGTTTGATTATTTGTCTGAGTGTGGAAGACAAAAAGATGTCTATTTAGTTACCTTGCTGTCTTCTTCTGTGTTTCTGTCTCCATAAACTCAGCTCTAGTTGGCCCACAGATTGTTTTCATAGTTTTTAATGGACTTGGTTATAAAAAGAAGTAGGCACAGTTTCTTTCTTTAAATGCTCTACAAAAAGGAAACATTAACTGTGGAAACAGCAGATTTGAAAAAGCAGGTTTCATTAAACAGTTATTCCAATGTTGTGTTTTGAAAGCCTGTCCAATGAGTAAACACTTCATAGATTGTTGTTTGGAGATTTTCATTTTAAGGATTACATTTTTCTGTATGGATTAAAAAAAATGCCAACATCTCCAAAACAACAAAACTCACCAGAAGGCCTTGTTTAGATGTGAAGAAGCCCGGCATGGTCTTTGATAAACATTATTATTTTATACCATTCACTTGCCTGGTTGTAAATTTCTTTAAGTCTTCTCCCCATTTTAGGACACTTTATATAATTTGAATTGATTGATTGGAGAAAAAGTTGGCCAGCAGAGGATGAAATCCAGAGCAAAGGTCAGATGGTGACTTTTCACAACACTCATATCCCGTCAGTGTCATGGGGACTATTTTGTTACATAAGAACAACCATTTAACTGTGCTGAGCTAATGTTTATGCTGCATGCACAGCGAGTAGATGAGTAAATGTGATACAGCCTTTATCTACACCCAAGACTTCTGGATTCTCAATCATTGCTTAAGATGGGTTGTCATCAAAACTACTGTACTGGGAGGTGATTTGAAGAAATATGTTTAAATCATCAAAACATCCATCTATCCACGTTCTTCTTCTTATCCAACTCAGGGTCAGTGGCACAGCTGGAGGCTCTAGCTTTGAAGTGCAAGTTAACCTAAAATGCTTGTATTAGGACTTTGGGAGAAAGCTTGGGTATCCAAAAAAAAGCCCACAAGGGCATGGAGAGACAAACTGTAGGAGTGCTCCAGAGGGAACCGTGCTAACCACTGCACTGCCATGATGCCCAAACATATAAATTCCTGACTATTTAATGACGCTTTAGACTCCAAATTGTGATCTATGTCCCAAGGCACGCTCATACAGTATAGGATGTTTTTAATAATGATTCTCTTACAGTTGAAGGTATTGCAACATTAGCCCCTTTAAGACAAAGCACCGTTATATTTAATGGATTTGTTCCAAGCAAATTATATTTATTTATTTATTATCTCATGTTTCTGTGTTATTTGTCTGGACATTCATTAATAGGTACCACATGATGATTATATGTTTGCCTGTGCAAAGATTTATGTTGCTCACAGGTTTTTTTTTGTAACGCAGTGACTTTATGAACAATAACGATTGATTATTAAACAGCCAAGTTTAGAATTAAAAACAGCTGTTTTAGCTTGTGGTGTTACACAACAGCACCTCATCTGGATACTTCAAATTTCTCCGAATTCACACATTTGTTTTAAATTAGTGTTAGGTTAGGTTAGGGTTTAGGGGTTATGGGAAAAAAGCCAGGAGAGGATGGGACAAAAGTGGAATAACTGAAAAAGTAAGAGGTGTAGAGGGCTGATGTTGGTGTCTAGGTGGGGGTTTTGGTGGGTGCCGGACGCTGTGGCGAAGAGGCTACGCCGATGGCTTCTTCGGTTCTGGAGATATGGCGAATCGGACCAAAAAGGATGGGACAAAAGGGTCCCAATTGGAGAAAGGAAGGTGCAGAGGGCCTGGTTCCACTGGCGTTGCATTGCCTGTCTCCGGGGGCATCCGCCGGTGCCCAACATGTCATGGTTCAGAGTACCTTTGCAGGATGGGGCAGTAGTTGGAGAACGGTCGTGTGATGCGTCCACGGATGCAGAATCCTTCCCCGACTCCGATGGTGCCCGCCCTGTCTTTGTCAGACCCTCCTACCTGGAGATAGAGCTGCAAACCTTTTTCGGAAGCAGTTTCCCTGCACAGAAGCGTCTGCAGCAGGAGACCGCAGAAGGGACAGCAGAACCAGGCCTCTGGAGCACTGCGTCATCTCCTGGTCCACACATATGACTTCAGCATGCAATGCACAAGGGAGAGCAAGGAGTCGTCTGTTGCCACAAACAGTACAATCACCTTCTGCCTCTGTCATTCTCTTTCGTTTGTTTGAGCGTTTGTTTTTTAAATACACAGCAAGTGTCACTCTCTCTCTCTCTGTCTGTCACAAACACAGACACTCACACACACACAGACAGACACTGTGAGGTCTGCAGTGCAAAATTTGAATTACAGTGCTTTGTATCACTCTCTCTCTCTGTCTGTCTGTCTCTCACACACACACACACACACACACACACACACACACACACACACCAAAGCACACAGAGAGAAGCTGGTCAGTTGCTGTGCAACTGGGATTGAACCAGAGGGGCTCCCCCTGCTGGCTCAATGCGGTGCAAAGTGTCAGAAGGTGATAGTTATCAGCTTTGGACAATCAATTGCACCTGTGGTCCACAGGAGGGCGCCGAGCTGGCAAGTCCTGTACATTGCATATTAAAGTTGTTGCAAGTGCACTGACATGTGTTTTTTGTGTAAAACAGAGAGACACACACACACACACACACACACAGTGGGTGCTCAAAGGTTCCGGGAGGAGGAGGAGAGGAGGCAGCGGGTTGGGGGTTTGGGATGTGTCTCAGGAATGTCATTAATTCTGCCTGGTGCTGCGTGTGCCCTGTGCAGCTTGGATGTCTGCCGCTGACGCTCTGTGGCTACTGTTCCTCTCATCTGCTGCTCCACATATGGCTTCAGGATGCACTGTACAAGGGGAGAGCAAGGCATCATCGGTTACCATAAATAAAACAGTGTCTTTCTGCCTCTGTCATTCTCTTTGGTTTGTTTGAGCGTTTGTTTTTTTAAATACACAGCAAGTGTCACTCTCTGTCTGTCTGTCTGTCTGTCACAAACACAGACACACACACTCACACACACACACACAGACAGACACTGTGAGGTCTGCAGTGCAACATTTGAATTACAGTGCTTTGAATCTCTCTCTCTCTCCCTCTCTCCGTCTGTCTGTCTGTCTGTCTCACACACACACACACACACACACACACACACACACACACACCAAAGCACACAGAGAGAAGCTGGTCAGTTGCTGTGCAACTGGGATTGAACCAGAGGGGCTCCCCCTGCTGGCTCAATGCGGTGCAAAGTGTCAGAAGGTGATAGTTATCAGCTTTGGACAATCAATTGCACCTGTGGTCCACAGGAGGGCGCCAAGCTGGCAAGTCCTGTACATTGCATATTAAAGTTGTTGCAAGTGCACTGACATGTGTTTTTTGTGTAAAACAGAGAGACACACACACACACACACACACACACACACACACAGTGGGTGCTCAAAGGTTCCGGGAGGAGGAGGAGAGGAGGCAGCGGGTTGGGGGTTTGGGATGTGTCTCAGGAATGTCATTAATTCTGCCTGGTGCTGCGTGTGCCCTGTGCAGCTTGGATGTCTGCCGCTGACGCTCTGTGGCTCCTGTTCCTCTCATCTGCTGCTCCACATATGGCTTCAGGATGCACTGTACAAGGGGAGAGCAAGGCATCATCGGTTACCATAAATAAAACAGTGTCTTTCTGCCTCTGTCATTGTCTTTGGTTTGTTTGAGCGTTTGTTTTTTAAATACACAGCAAGTGTCTCTCTCTCTGTCTGTCTGTCTGTCTGTCTCTGTCTGTCACACACACGCACACACACACACCAAAGCACACAGACAGACACTGTGAGGTCTGTAGTGCAAAATTTGAATTTCAGTGCTTGGTGATTTGTCTCCCTCCAGTGGCCCACTGCAGGTATGATGAGGCTTAAATGATAGGATAGGATAGGATAGGGATAGGGGGTTATGGGGAAAAAGCCAGGAGAGGATGGGACAAAAGTGGAATAACTGAAAAAGTAAGAGGTGTAGAGGGCTGATGTTGGTGTCTAGGTGGGGGTTTTGGTGGGTGCCGGACGCTGTGGCAAAGAGGCCATGCCGATGGCTTCTTCGGTTCTGGAGATATGGCGAATCGGACCAAAAAGGATGGGACAAAAGGGTCCCAGTCGGAGAAAGGAAGGTGCAGAGGGCCTGGTTCCACTGGCATTGCGTTGTCCGTGTGCGGGCGCATCCGCAGGTGCCCAACATGGCATGGTTCAGAGTACCTTTGCAGGAGGCTTAGGTTGTTGAAAAAAAGATCAGGGAACCAGCAATCGCCGGTTCCCTGAGATGCACTCTCCACCGTGGGACAGGATAGTGGTACCCCTGCCCCAGTTCAAAAAATTGCCCATCTTGGGTTTATGCGCAAGTAGTAATACGATGGCACCTGTCCAAGATGGCGGCCAACCAAACCGGTTTGACAACCGGTTTGACGGGTTTCGTGCGTGTGCGCATGCGCGTTCAGTAATACGATGGCACCTGTCCAATATGGCGGCCAACCAAACCGGTTTGACAACCGGTTTGACCGGTTTCGTGCGTGTGCGCATGCGCGTTCAGTAATTCGATGGCACTAGTCCAAGATGGCGGCCAACCAAACGGTTTGACAACCGGTTTGGCCGGTTTGACAACCGATTTGACCAGTTTCGTGTGTGTGCGCATGCGCGTTCAGGTGTTCTTACCCTCTGGGCGGGAACGACTCCTCCTAGTGGGATGTGCTAGGTTGTATGGGTATAAAAGCGATCCTTTCACATTCTAAGAGCATCACCGCCACGGTCTGAGGAGCACCGACACATCGCGCTAAGGATCCCCGACGCATCGACCTAGAGCACCGACACATCGCGCTAAGGATCCCCGACGCATCGACCTAGAGCACCGACACATCGCGCTCGCTAAGGATCCCCGACGCATCGACCTATGGAGCTCGGAA